AAATGAATCAATAAACTTCTTTGGTATGATAATTGCTCAACTGTTTCACTTGTAAACAAAATTTAGTAATGTTGTGACATATAAATGTTGCAACCTCTATAAGGGTGAAAAGTGGAGGGAAATAATTTTCATTGATAATATACATATCACACATATGTAGTTCATCTTTTCATTGCAATTCCACTTATTAAAGGTACTTTCTGGAAAAGTGTAAACAAGTTTTGATATTGTGATACCTACTGGGGCGTTCTGGGGTTGACTCTTAGTCACTGCCACCAATATGTGACCTGGTCGATCAGTGGTCGTCGCTACCCAGCAGGATCCTTTGGTCAAGGTACCAAATGGAATGGTTGGTCAATTCTAATGACACGAATACGTAACGGCTTCACACCAGATGCAACTGGTTTGACACCAGCTCCATCATTCTCAGCTCGCTTCCAATGACTGGTTACTGAAGTAACTACTTCAATCTCAAGTCTAACCTACCCATGTTGTGATTTGATCTTAGGTAGACAAAATCAATCAGACACTGGGCTCATTGTGCAAGGTGAGTCTAAACTGGAGGTGACATTGAACAAGCAGAAAGAAAGAAATGGAAATCAAAAAAGGTTCAGGTATGTTTGAAGAAATCAAATCATCTTTTATCAGTCTGTTCTATACAGGAGTATATGTTCTTCCCAACCTGTTTCTTCTGAAAGTGACGCTTTTATACTTCTAGGAAAGTTCTGGTCTTCTAAGTCAACTGGTTTAGTTTTTAAGTGCTGGCTTAGCTTTGTTCATCAGTATAACTTGCTTTTTGTAGAAAGGCTAAGTCAGAGGCAGAAATCGTGGAATCTCTCAGTCAGCTCTCTTGTAGCGCTCTCCAATGGCAAAACGTAAACTAGCAAACTGCCCAAGGGCGCTCGTTTATATGGACTTCAACCAAAACATGGTGCAGGGTTAGACACAGCCTGGAGTTTTCAGTCAATCCCCGATTTCCAACAAGAGTCCCTTTGTTTCTGCGGGGATCCCTTCGTCCATGAGGAGAGGTTGCAGGATAGCTATCCTCCTAAACCCCCTCCTCCTCACATTGGTATTTCACACCAATTCCTTTTGGTGGGTGTTAGTAACTTCTTCGTCTCTCTTACTGTTTTACCTCTGCCTATCACCACTGCTACCACATGGCTAATGGCATCTCGGTCATGCTGGTGTAGCTAAGCTTAATTAACTCTTTGACACCACTGCTTATTCAGGATTTTTTTATCCTGTTTTCAGATCATGAGCAGTTTAGAATTATCAACTGGAACTTTGTTTACGCAAATCCTTTTGCACCCTGCCAAAATTCCTACAATTAAATATATGGCCATTTCCTCGGTCACATTACCTGTGTACACAATATCTATGCACTCTCAATTGATATTTTCATCGATTTTGGTTATTTTGTGTTTTCTTAACCAGCACTTTTAATGACCATCATTAATCAATTGCCAGAGATCCCCACATTGTTTTTTGTGAAATTATCATTGACACAATTCTTCTGTTTCTTGAGAAAATAGACATTTTGAAAAAAAAAAAAAAATCTTATGTTGATCGGTATATTCTTTGGGATATCTCTTAACCCTTCATTTCTGTTTTCAGCATTTTCCCCGTTTGATTTTTATGGCTAATTAATTAATTAATTACCATAACTAAATAGTGTCACAATATTACAGCTAAAAATGATGTTTCTGGACATTTCTTTGATTTGATTGAATCTTTCATTCATTCAAACCATGTAATAAAAGTTGTCTTGAATGGCCACTCCTCTAGATCATTTTACATTAATGTGGGCACCCACCTTGTATTTTTGAACCCACTCTGTTCCTTATTTTCATCAATGACTTTCTTGATGTCATCAGTTCTTGACCTGTATCTATACTGATGACACAACTAATTACTCTTGTATTAATAGTAAATCTGATAGATTGGATAAAATCAAATCTTTCAGTTACATCCTAGTAATGTTTATTATCTTGCTTGGAGTGAAATGGTTATAACAAAAAAAGGATATCATTATATTTTTTTTATTATTCTAATGCATTTTATTACATTTTTGCCAGTATGATTTTAAAAAAAACAATGCATTTATTTATTTTGATTTCATTCTTTCCAGTTTTAAAGAAGTAGTAATAGTAGTATAATTGATTGTAATTACTGTATTTGATTTGACTGAATATAGCATAGTGGTTATCAGTGCAGAAAATAGGATTTGTATGTTCATATAGTTCTACAATCTTGTAATGACTAGATGTAACTGTAAGTTCTATGCTAACAGTTTCTTCTCTCATACTTCTTGCTTATGAAACACTTCTACCTTTTTGCTTTCAAGTCAACTTTGAACTGCAAACTTTTAAATGCAGTTTCAATCATTATCTACTGTTTTCTTATTTCCTATTCTTTTATTGTTCTCTCTCCTTAATAATGCTTTCATTTTCTCATATTATCTCACACTCAGTAACTCGCTATGTCTTAGTGGCTTTGTTGTCTTGCTTGGGGAGAAATGATTAAAAAAAATATATAAAATTAATCTTGTAAATAATCTAACAACTAAATAGTGTGAAACATTTTTGTTGTTATTAAAATTCTAAACAACTTTTTAAAACAATAAATATTGTTGAGGGAGTATTATGGGAGTTAACAGGTTGTGTGTTTGTGTGTATTTTATGTAAACGTACATGTTCAATATGTAAACAAAAAGATGGAAACACACAAAAACTTGCATTTCTACTTCAGATGTTTATTCTTTTTATGGTGACTGTAGTGAAGCAAAGTTCTCAATGTCTTCGGTATGTCCATTTTCTTTTTGGTCTAGAAGTTAGGGTAGGTAATTATAAGTATCATATTTATGGCTGAGCTCAAGTCACCCTTGTGCAGAATTGGAACAACTGAAGGAAAATTTCTACTTACTTTATCATTGGAAGGTTTAAATATGATTATGGAATGTCTGTTTTTTTTCTTGGTCCAGAAGTTAGAGTAAGTAAGTATAAGCATCATTACTATGGTTGCACTCAAGTTAGCCTTGTGCTGAGTTGGTACAACCAAAGATAAAGCTTGATGTATGTCATAGGTTGAGGTTTTTGGGTTTAGTTACCATGTGTCAGAAAGTGGGAAGAGAGTTCAGTCATCAGTGGACTGGAAACTACATTCCCATCAAAACCATAATTACAACATGGTCCACTACATCATGGAGCAAGAAGGAGAATAGAATGAAGCAGGAAATGTTTGCCTTTTTATAAACTTCAACAGCACCACTTAACGACTTTGATGAAATTAAGTGTGATAATCATATTTCTGATTCCTTTACTGTTAGAATCATGGGAAAATGTGTTTCTTTTTTTTATAACTCATTATGTAATCCCGTCCTCCACCGCATTGATTTTCAGGTTCCTTCAGACCACCATGGTTACCATCTAGCTGACTCCTCACTCATTAATGTATTGCTGATTTGTCACTGAAGCTTGTCTCCTTCACAATCCTTCACTTCTCTGCCACGTTGTGTTTTTGACCACAGAAGGTGAGACAATTGCTGATGATATGGTTTATATATGATTTGTTGTATACAGTTGTTTTAACACTTCCCACTAACTGCTGTAATCAAATGACACTGGGTCCCCTTTTGGAGATTATAGCCTGTGTTAGTTGTAATTTAAATTTGTAAGTTCTGGTGTTCAGGGCTGGCATAAGGTCTTGGTCAGGAGGTCTAAGTGAATGATGTAGATTCCAGTATTAGTAATGTGGGGACTCTCCAAGTTGTCCAAACCTTCTGCTTATATGGACTCCTGTGGTGTGTGGCTGATGAGGGTATGAGGTTTGGTTGTCTTTCACTCTTAGTTTCTAAAATCCCATATTTTCAAAATATGTTTACTTGAGTAATTTTCCAAGTTTAAGGATTGTCCGGCCCCCTTTTGAGAGTGGTCAGAGGAATCAAGCTGCCCTCTTATTCCAACTCTGTTCATGTTTCATCTCACTCCATTATTCCATATACATGGTGCTAATCTCTCTCTTCCTTCTCCCACTTTCTCAGCATCCAACCTCTGAGGGCTGGTACACAGTCATTGTGATGAATCTAAACTTTTGGTATGCATAGGTGAAAGGGTGATTTTCAGTCATTGATCTTCCTTTATCAGCTTGTCAGCTGGTTGATTTTAAGCGATTTCTTGATCGACCAGGAAACACAGCTGGCCATCTATGGTCACTCCAGGGTTAGTAATTAATTTTTCTTTATCACTTGTAGCTAAAGGAATCTGAAATAATGTTGGCCATAAAAATTTTGACGAATGACACAGAAATTAAAATTTGCTAATCTCTATTTTTGTAGGGATATTTTTCTTCTGGGTGGCCGATTTAAACCAGATGTTTTTCCTTGTTCTTTGTCCAGAACCATTTTTAGATGTTGTTTCAGTGACCACCTGTGTTTTTTTTTTTTATCAACATCTCTATTTATATTTTCCAGGACCAACATCTTCAAGGATGCACTAATTGTCTCTTTCTTATTGGTAGGAATTGGGAAAGGATGGGTAATCTTGGTTTTGCTCAATCTTACTGAATTCCTTCTAGTTACATTTGGGTTCAATTCTCCTTGGAAGTGTTTGGGATTTCATTTTGTTCTTAAAATTTTTCAACGCATTTCATTTTTAATTTTCTTCAACTTTTCAATCCACTTTCCTGTAAATTTTAACAATTATCATCCAGTTAGTACTTTCTTTCCTCTTCCTTTTTTTTCTTTCCCTATTTTTTTGGTTGATTAACCCCCTGAGGTCCCAGTTTCACAATTATTTTATTTATCAATTTTATTTAATTTTCCCACAATATACAGCAATAGTGCTATCAAGAGAAAAACTGTAATTTTGGCACACTGTTTTTTTTTGAGGATCCAAATATTAGTTTGGGATTGAAGTTTATAACCAGTAACAAGAAGTTGCATGAATCACACTTCTTAAAAGATTAAATAATAAAATGTATTTTCTTTTAATTTTTTTCAGATTTTAGTCATGTTTATTAATCCAACACATAGAGCTATGGTGCCATGTCAATATTTTTTAAATGGAAAATGCAAATTTTCTGATGAAAAATGCAAGTAAGTATTCAGATTTTATTATCACATAAGAAACAGTTTTTTCATATTCTCTACAAAAAATAAAATTAAAAATAAATTGTGTAGCTATTCATTAATATCTGATCTGCTTGCTGATATCTCTATTTTGATATTAGTTTATAGTGAAGAAAACAATGACTTACCTCGTCAAACCAAGCGATAGTGCATCACGTATATTCTACAATGGAAAATGTGGCGAAAAAGAAAATTGCTTACCAAACAAAAGGGCACGTATTCCACATGACATGCTGAAGATGGAATATTTGAATTAAAAAACAAGTCTGTTGCAGGAGTCGCTATAAAAGTATTTTGATATGCAAATTACTGAACATCCTCTCCCAGCTGTCGATGAATGGAAAAAATGCTCAGCCAATAAAAGCAGTTGGTGTTCTCGAATCGGGGAGCAAAATTCGGGTATTTTGGCTACCATGTTTGCTGGAGAATGAGTTATTTTTCTGACTGGTTGCATGCATTGTGATTCATGAGAATCAAGTTTTCGGCATTTCTTTCTTCCCCTGATGTTCGAATCTGAACTTAGAGATTTATTCTCTGTGACATGGAAATAATCTGTGACAAACATTTCCTTTGTAATCCCAGATCGCTTACATAGTCTAATTTATTGCCATTAAAGTGAATTTGAAATGCTATCTCATAATGGTCATTATATTTGCATACACTGAATGTAGTAACTATTTTTTTTAATGCCATATCACTTCAGACCATAGGCAATCATATCTCTCCACAGATTTTAATTTATTATCTGTGAATTGTGATGCATTTTTGGGAAAGATCGTGAAGTGGCTTCCTGTTTTCTTCTCCACGGTCTGATATTCAGAGATTTCCTTCTGAGACTGGTTGCAACCCAAGGTGTAACTGAAAGCTGGTCTCAATGAAATAGGTTCACACTTCATACTGATGTTATCCTGTTATTTAGGAAACATACCGTGAAAATTAAAAACAACAAATATATCTTTCAAAATGGGAAATGGATAAACAAAATACATTTCACAGAAAAACACAAACAAGGAAAACACTTTTCAAACAAAAACAATTTCAAACAAACACAACTGATAAAGAGACACATGGTGTCTTAGAGGAGAATTTCAGACTTAATAATAGGGAGCAGATTTACCATGTTGTCTGTTTAACCAGGAGTAACTAAAGAACACATGATAGATTCCTAACTCATAAGGGGTTACATGGTAGCAGAGTTGCAGAAATTACAGCTAAACACATGTATGTATATATGTGATAAATGTTTTTATACTTTTATGGAACGTTAAAAATTATTTTCATAATATTAACCCTATTACTATATGCTATTAGTAGTAAAATCATTAAGTTTGTGATTTCATATACTGGTCCATTTGGAGACCATTACACATGGCTATAGAGCCCACTTTATTTTGCTATTTAAGTCATAGATTGGGATGAGGAGAAGAAATGGATTGATACCTTTCCAAAGGGTATTTGCACAAATGTGAATGCAACAATCTAGCTTGGAATTTGAACTCAGCCGGTCAATACGACATTCTGCATGAATAATGATTACACTACCCACACATCCCTACATTATAGAATAGAACATTAAAAAAAAACAAACAGTATTTATCAAATATTATGTGAAATATGTTAGTGATTATCTCTGGGTATTTTAAATATGAACTCTGTACATGTTTGTTGTGATTGAAATTTATATATATATATATATATATATATATATATATATATACGATAGGATAAGGAACAAATAGGATACATTTATAAATTTAACAAGATTTGTGATGAAGCTTAAATAAAGGTGAAACGTTTTTTATATATATATATATATATATATATATATATATATATATATATATATAATATCACTTGATAATTAGTAGGGATGATTACAACAAGGATATAAATCCAAAGATTTTGTAAAAAATTTGGTCTGAAGAGATGAACTTTTGAGTCCACAAAATAAAATATCACCTGAATGGATTTTTAAGGATTCTGTATTCATTATATATATATATATATATATATATATATATATATATTTTTTTAAAAAAACATAACATAAGTATGTTATAAAATCACACACACATGTATGTCTGTGTGCATATACCAATTATAATATATATATATATATATATATATATATATATACATACACTCTCATACTCAGTAACCTGTTTGTGGCTTTATTGCTTTGTTTGGGATGAAATGAATAAAAAAATATATATAACTTCCACCAGTTCATCAATTCCCAGACACTCCTATACAGATTGATGGGAAGAACTTGAAGCATGTGAAGTCATTTACATATTTAGGAAGTAAGATGAATGCAAATGCATCCCTTGATGACAAAATAACAAATCAGATTGCCAAAGCTACAAGTACATTTGGAAAGCTTTGCTTCCACCTATGGAATGAGAGATGTATCAAAATGGACACCAAAATACAGGTTTATAGACCAGCCATTTTCACCATACTGTTGTATGACTCAAAATTGTGGACCCCATACCAATCAGCTGGATGTCTTCTAACTAGAGATATTTGTGCCAGAGTGGTATCAGAAATTTTGAAATTAGTCATGCCAGCTAAGAGACGAAAGACAATAGTAAAAAGCATCATCAAATATTCCTGTTACTATGTCTTAAGATCCTCACTGTTGCACAATATGTGGATTTGTAAGCCAGTCATTAGTGGGACTGAAGTGTCACATACAACACAAATATAAAAACTGAATGTCGGATGCTCATACATTGAAATTGATTGGAGTGTCCATAATCGTGTGTGTGTGTAATTATTGTGAAAATCAAACAAGCCAAGTCAACTGATCCAACACTTTTAACTCTGTTGTTGTTGTAACCTAGAAAGGATTACTGAATGAGGAATAACCAAAATGGAGTTTGGAAATGAAATGGTAATCTTTATAACATCAACAAAATACAATACTCGCCAGTGATGTGAAGTAGGTAAACCACTACTGGTGGTGGACTACTTAGAGGGCATATTACTCCGACTTACAATAGTGTCCAATGTATTTATGAGATGCCCATTTGTGGTTATAGGTACATTATATAACAGTTGTAAAGAGCCATTTTCAATTAAATTCATATTTTCATTGTCAGTAAAAAAAAAAAATAAACATTTGGTTTAAATGAAATTTCCTAATTCCTTTTCTTGTTTTATTCAATTTGATTATCATTTGAATAATTTTTAAAATGAAATTTTCCAAATATTCTTTCAGTTTTTCTCACGGACATATAGTAAAATTAGATGAAATAAAACCATATGAAGAACCAGATTATAGGTAAAGTAAAATTTTCATCTTTTGTAAGCAAAAAATTCTTTATAATTCTTTGTTTATCTTCTCCTTTATTATCTGTTTGCCAATTTAATCACTTGTTTACATAGCAAAGTTAAAATTTCTTTTTTCACTTAAAATATAGAACTTACCTAAGATGAAGGAGACTGATGTTCCCACTTTGCTGTTGAAAAATACGCTGCTCAATAGAAAATTATGCAAAGGAAGGCATAATTTGTATTTTGTCACTTTGAATTCATCAATCTGGTTTTGAAACTTAAGATCTTTTCACAGGAGTGTTTCAAATAACGATTTTTTTTCATATTTATTGTTTACTTTGAGCATATCTACCCTATTAAAAGCTGCTTTGAAAGTGGGAATTGTATTATTTAGCTGCAGATAATGATTGCCTATCTTGTGTATATCTATATCTTGTGAAGATCTGAACTGGCACAACTAAAAAATGCAGCTCTTCTGAATATCTGCCATGAAAATAGTGATTGTGACAGGCTTGCAACATTGCATCTGTGGGAAAGAGGCTGGAGAATAAATCTTTCCTCATAAGACCATAATAGCTGTCTTTTATGAAAAGGTTTTTGGAAGCTGTAAATTTGAACAATAGGAAATAAGTTAATCTTTTATCAAGAGATGAATGAACAATCAAAATTTGAATATAGAAACTTTGTCTCATGTTGCTTCTGCTTATTATAATGAAACCATTGTAAATAGAAAGTTCATTTGTCATATCAAAACAATTTTTAAAGAATTGATTTTATTTTTTAATTTTTAATATGTTTATTACTTCAAATATTATTTTTAGTGGACAGCCATATTTCAGTAGACACTCCATAAAATGGAGCATCTACTCAAATACGGGTAGGTAAATATATAATGCAACTCTCACCCAACCTTTCCATCCATGATTACCCCACATTGCATTTTGATTCTGGATTTCATCGCTGTGTACCAAAAACTGGGAAAGGACTTGCTGCATGCTTGCAGTATGAAAGAAAAAAACGTCATGTTGAGAAATAAGAACAGGAACCTTGTTTTCCACATTACATATGGTTTTATTCAGGGCTTCACCTTCTCATCTGGGTGGGTAGGTATGTGATCCTTGTGACAGCTTCTGCTATATCAGCTCTTCCTCCTACCAACTCCTCACACATCTACTTATCCCAATGTGGTGGCTGTCAAATCCAAAATGAAGGCTCCAGAACCATGACATGGATACATTTCTCTCCTGCCAAGGGCAAACCAGTACTCTCCCTCATCCCAAGCATAACTGTTAATATTGACCAGCACTTGGATATAACCTACTTCCAGTTTTGTTGCTACTTGATCTGCAAAAATCCCTCATCCACTCCTTTATTTCCCATTGCCCATTGGTTAAAGTCGAAGCCACTTTGAAGACTGAACTTCAAAAGGGTCCATCCTCTGGTCCATCAAACAGAAAAACACTAAAGCTTGAGATAAAACCCTCTATGTAGATGTCGATAGTATCACACTAAAAATAATGTTTCATGTAATAAAAATTATTTACATTATTCAGATTGTTATCCTCATCTTCATTGCCATATTCACAACATTTCGGCTGTTGTATGCTCTGGCCTTCTTCAGGTCATTGGAATTTCAAACTGAACACTTTATTTCATCCACTGGAGTAGATTGTTCTAGTTCCATGTGTCATGCCTCTTCCAGATGTCTCGGTTATTCCCCTTTAACTCAACTCTCCAAGTTTTTGGGTTCACCACTGCTGTAGCCTGGTATTGAACTCAAAATTCTTTGGGTCTAGTCAATGGATTTAACCAATGCAGTTATCCACTGGGCCATGTGTCTTTGAGACATTTGGAAGAAGCATGGCATGTGGAACTAGAAAAATCAACCTTGGTGGACAAAATAAAGGGTTTGGTTCAAAATTCCAATCACCTGAAAAAGGCTGGAATGTACAATGGCCAAAACATCGTGAATATGGCAATGAAGATGAGGATAACATTCTGAATAATGTAAATAATCATAATACCTCATCTCAGAGATATAGACAGATATTAATAAAAATTAGTCATATTCTTGATTATCTTCTTTCTCAAACAGGACATTTTTTTAATTTTAATTTCATGTTACCTATAGTTCTTTCATTTACAAATTGATAATTCTACTTCCAACAACAAATAAAATTATTTTCAAGTGCTATTTTAGAATTTTAGTAAGTTTTCTTGAAATTTAATTTAGCAACTTTAACTCTGCTATGTAATGTTTTTATTTTCTAAATCAGCAATTAGAGACTACATACTAAACTTTATACTAAAACTCAATAGAGATCCCTATTTTGGGACATTTTGTATTGATTTTTTTTTTTTTTTGAAAATAAGAATTTTTTTATTCTTTATTTTTCAGCTCTTTGCAAATAAATGGGAAGTGTTTGGCCCGTTTCACTGATAAACTCTGGTATCGAGCAAAAGTGGAAAGTATAGAAGCAGATGGACGTTTTGTTGTTTCCTTTGAAATCAAGAATGATGTTTTGGTGGTTAGCCATGAGGAAATCATGCCTTTCAGTAAGAATCAATTTTAAACCTCAACAAATGCTTACCAATTTTAGTTATTTTGTATCATTTGGATATGGTAGGCTACAAGATTCACAGTACATACTTCAAACGAAACCTTGCTATTTTTTATCTTGTTTAGATTACTGAACTCATTTATTTGTTATTTATTATTACCACAATGTTTTGGCTGACCCATTCTACAGCCTTCTTCTGGTCTAGATTTCTGCATGGTTTGGTTTTATTTGCTCAGCTAGAAAAGAATTTGAGAGCATCTCTGTATATAACTTATATTACATGGGTGCTAAGAATAGTATTATTTGTGTGGCTTGCATTGCTGGGAATGAGTCAAGCCACTTACCATTTCTTTTGTGTTCACCTACTTTTCTGTAAAATAGTTGCTACTTTCTTTCCTTGTGGATTTTATATCTGAAGGAGGGTATAGGATGGATCTGCCAAAATTGTGATTCCCAAAGTGTGACCCAGATTTATCTCCCAATGATGTCACAAATATTAAAAAAAAATTAATAAACTACTGCAAATATAATTCAGTTCACTGATGCATAGTTACAGTGAGAGGAAATGCAATCTAACTGGTACATTGCAAGTCACTTTGTCTATCTAGTTGAACTTTACCATCTGGAATTGGAATGTAAGCAGTCATGGCATATAGCCTGAATCCATCATAAAAATTCAGGTTGTGGAATTAGTAAATACTAAACAGTTCGAATACCTTCTGGATCAGTTATAACAAATTCAGTACAGAAGAAAATGAAAATGGAACATAGAATTGGTGGTGCCTGAGATAGTTTCGCTCAATACCACACATTTCTACAAAACCAAAACATTAATCTGAAAACTCAAGTCATGTTCTTAAATAGCCTCATCAGAGCAAGACCTTTATATGAATGTCATGCATGGTGCAAAAACCCGTTTAGGAATATCTAAATTGTTAGCCATATATAACCACTTTCTAAGATCCATGATTAAAAATGGCTTTGAGTGACTGAAGTCTGAGGGTCTTAGAAAAGACCATCCTTATTTGAACATTGTGAACATTACAAACCACTATACCAAATAACATCATTTGAGAACTACTAATAGCAGCAACAACTAAAATGGTTAGAACATGTAACTCAAATAGAAAATAATTACATAATCAAAATGTTGACATTCCACACTACTTGAAATAAAAGGTTAGGAAGGAAACCCCTGTCCACACTTGAAAAGTGATAACAGCTACTGGACTTGAGAAACCTATTTTCCTAAAAAATTGTTTTAAGAGAAAGATTTGGTAAAATTCATCCGAAAGCAGTACTGGCTGATCGGTTGGCCAGTGAATGCCAAATGTTTCTTTGTAGGGAAACAGCTAATATTACATTTACCATTTGAATACTAGCAGGTATTTGATCAGTAGTCAAGGTTTACATTCTGGATTATTCTCAAACTATTTCGAACATTATCAGTAAATAAATAATAAACATTAAATAACTGCAGATTCTTCTCGGCTTCATTCAAGATTGAATCTACTGAATGATGGTGAGATTAAGCTATTTATATTATTTGCATTCAAATTAATACCTTCATCTTTGTTGTTGTTATCCACAACATTTTAGATTATATGCCACTCCAGCTACATATCAATTCAGGTAACCTTCAGGGAATTTCAAACTGAACCCTTTATTTAATCTACTAGGTTAGATTATTCTTGTTCATGTCCAGGGATATCTTAAGTTGTTCGTTTTAGTACTGCTCAATTATTGCTCATCCTGTTTCCACGTCTGTCTCAGAGATTGAATTCACAGGTGCTATGTCACCAAATTTCATCCACTGGACCTAGAAAATTGGAGCCTTAAACCTAATGTTCTTTTTGCCTGCCTGCTGATGCTCCTGCAGCTGCAGTTACACCTGACTTCCTTTGCCATCACTTCTCTTATTTTACTGCTGAAGCTTGATTCTCTACATTGTGATTTCTTTTTTCTTTATTAATAGATTAAACAGAGTAAATCAAATAAAGGGTCCAGTTCAAAATTCCCTGAAGTTCACCTGGATCAACAGACACCTGAAGAAGGCTGGATAGCACAATGGGCAAAATATGATAACAAAGATGAGGACATGGGACCAAATGTAAACAACAATAACTCCCCATTTCAGAAATTCAGACAGAAATCAAGCTATTAAGTTAAAGTTAGCGTTTAAATAAAAATAAGTTTACTTGTTACAAGTTATATAACATTAATTAAAAAATCAGAGGAGTTGTATTCAGTTTGATTCCAAGTTTTGAGATATTCTATGGTGAACAACAGGCTCACCTGTCCATTTGTAGTTATAATTAACACAAAAGAAAACAAATATATAGCTTTTTACTTTTATTACTATTGTTTGTAATTATTCCATATTGCATCAGCAGTAATTTTGTTAAGAGTTAAGAGGATGTATTGTATGATCCTTGATGTAAATTTACTATAGAAGATGGTTAAGCAGTAATTGGCAATTTTGCTTATGAGTGCAACTCTATTTCCTAAAAATCATACCCAAAAGTTATGATGGAAAAGAGACTTCTTTTTGATGAGTTGTTTAATTCTGAAAAATTGAGTTTTTTCTTATATTATCATTTAAACTAGGGTCATACTGATAAGCTGATTGCTAATGAAACAACCTAAAATTACTGTACAATGACTGATTAATTGGTGCAACCTTAATCTAGACAGAAAACCAAGAAAAATTGACATAGAAATAACAGAAGGTCCTTGGAATCACAGAAGCTACTCACACAAAAAATCATTTAACAGAAAATATGCAAACAGTACTACCCTGTCAAAACATATATATATATATATATATATATATATATATAAAATCTTTCTATTAAAATAATTTTTCAGAGAAATAGGTTTCCTATGCTCCAGCCACTTCAGGTATATATCAATTCAGGTAACCTTCAGGGAATTTCTGACTGAACCCTTTATTTAATCTACTAAGTTAGATTATTCTTGTTCATGTCCAGGGATATCTTGAGTTGTTCGTTTTAGTACTGCTCAATTATTGCTCATCCTGTTTCCACTGAGTCCAAGTCTTATAGATTGAATTCACAGTTGCTATGTCACCAAATTTCATCCACTGGACCTAGAAAAAAACCTAAAATAAAGATCTTACATGTAAATGACATGATTAGGTTCATAATGATAAGTATGGATAAGGTTAATGATCAGATTCTTATGAATTGTCTTAGGTGGGCATGTTCAGATATACAATCTAATAAATGGTAGTGGTGTGATTGACTGTTTCCATACAGGAAACTATTGTAAACTATAATTGGTTGGAAGTATTCACTACTATTTCTCTTGTAGTTTTGTCTTTATGTTTAGGATTAGTTTAGCCTCCAGCTGTATCAACTGCTATTTATAAGGCGGAGATTTGCAAAGGAATAAAACATTCTTACCCACATTTATTTTTTTTGATAAAAAAAGAAAAAGAATGCACTTTCAGCAAAAGAAGGAAAGGAATGCTCTTTCAAAAAAAAACATAAAATTAATTATTTTTTTCCTTGTTTTTTTTAGTGTTTGATCTTGAGTCATTTTGATTCTTTGATGATATGCTTAGAGTGCCTTAGAGGATTGGTGGGGGGGGGCGCATATTTTGCAGTGTTTGGGTTAGGCGAGTTACAGATTCCTGATTCAGCCCCTTCATTTGAATCACTGGACACTAGTACAGTATCTTCTGATTTTGGAATTTTATTTCCATCCGATTCCGGTATATATAGGGCTATTTGAGACTATTGTAACTGATTCAGGTTAGCAGATTGTCATTTTGTTCCCAGCAGGAGCAAGATGACATAGAGAAACAGTATTTTCTTTTCCATTTGGTAACTTAACAAGAGCGTAGTTGCCTGAATCAGATCAACTTCTGAGGCAGAGGGCTGAATGTTGTATTCATATGCAAATCTCCACCCTATAAATAGCAGTTGATACAGCTGGAGGTTAAACTAGACCTAAAAAGTGTGTATCATCAAGTTCCTTGATGTAAATCAAACTGCCTTTACATGGCTTTTGAAGGCAATGGTAAATTGTATAATTTTAAAAGGATGCTTTTGGAATCACAAATAGAGTGGTTGGGTTTCAAAGAGTATTAGATGAAATAATTGAAAAAGAAGGTCTAAAGGAAACTTTTGTGTATATAGATGATGTGGCCATTTGTGGTATTATTGAAAGAGAATATGACACTAACTTGGCTAGATTTGAAGAACTGATTGAAAAGTATGGTATCAACTTAAATGAGAATAAATGTGTTTACAGAGTAACAAAAATAAAACTTCTGGGCTATGAAGTAAGTAAAGGAGCTGTTAGACTAAACCTTGAAAGGTCGAGACCTCTTTTATATTGCCTCTCTTCAAGGCAATATAAAAGCTCACAGGAGAATTGTTGGGATGTGCGCTTACTACAGTCATCGGATCCCAAACTATTTGCTAAAAATTCATGCGCAAAATAACAACACTATATTTCCTTACCTGCTAAAATAAAAGATTCCTTTGAATATTTCAAAAGGGAATTAGAAAGAACTGTAGTACACACTCTATATGAGGAAAACCTGCTGAAATTAAAACTGATGCTAGCTACATGAGCTAGGCTGCAATGCTAAATCAAGGACGCAGGCCTGTTGCATTCTGGTCCAAAACTCTAAAGCTCTTATAACAAAACCACACCCCAATATAGAAAGAAGCTAACATAATCATCAAAGCAATCAAGGAATTACTGAAAGGTAAATGTTTTATTCTTGTCACAGACCAAAGAGCTCTATCCTACATTTTCGATAAGCATAAAGCTTTGAAGACAAAAACAACAAAATTAATTGCTGGATAATTGAACTTTTCACTTACAAATATTGTATTGGATATTGACTGGGCATCAAAAATGCATGCCCAGATGTGTTAACTAGAGTACATTGTGCTTCTGTCATATATATTGACCTTAAATAATGACATAATAATCTATGTTATCCTGGAGTACCAAGAATGATGAACTTTATCAGGTTGAGAAGTTTGCCCTACTCAACAAAGGAAGTAAAGAGAATGACTGAAAAATGTAATGTTTATGCCATAGAAAATCCAAGATTTGTGAGAGGAGGCAAATTAATCAAAGCCATTCAACTCTTCAATTGACTGAATATAGATTTCAAGAGAATGCTTCCTTCAAATTGAGGAGAAAAGTATTTTTGGCTGTCATTGATGAATATAGTTGTTTCCCTTTGCATGTAGGGACATGTGCTCTACAAATGTATTGACTTCCTTAAGTAAATTATTTTGCATGTGAATACAATAGAGGCATTAAGCATTCATTAACTGAACAGTTTGCATTACTGTTTGTTGAAATTTATAAAATCTTTCTCTTAAAATAGTTTTTTAGGAAAATAGGTTGCTGAAGTTTACTGTTATCTATCTTTCTAGTATTGATAGGTTAAAGGTAACCTTTTTTTCCCATATTTTTTCTATTCTTGCTTTTGAACCCAAAAGTTCAATCTGCCCTAAATGATTTTCAACTTTCTGAAACATTTAACTCTGGTAGTTGATATTGCTCACTTCGAAGATCCAATCTGAACTAATTTGTTTTATCTCCCTTGAGAATTTTTCACTATTCGGAGATATTCAGTCTAAGGGACATAATTCTTAAATCAGATAAATTATTAAACTATTACATTTATAATAAAAATTATTTAAAAAAAAAATAGTAACAAAATATTGTTTTTAATTGGAAACAAAAAGAGTACTGAACTGTTATGTAATATCGGTACTCCTATATGGCCGTGAGTACTGGACCATCTCATCACTGATGAAGAAGAGACCTGAGGCAATAGAAATGTGATTTTAAAGAAGGATGCTGAAAATACCATGGACTGAACATGTGAGCAATGATAAAGTTTTATAGAAAATGGAAACAAAAAGGACACTTATACGTAGCATCAGAAAGGGACAGTTGAAATTTCTAGGAAACATAATAAGGAAAGAGTGTTTGGAAAATTTGCCACCTACAGGGCATATTGAAGGGACAAAGGAAAACAATGTATAAAATTACCTATCAAGCTTGTGTAAATGGTTGGCAGAAATGGGATTAGGAAATATAGCAAAAATACAAACTTTACTAAGTGCTACAAAGGAAAGGAAGTAGTGGAGAGTCATGATCACCCATGTCCTGAAGGGACACGGCACATAGAAGACGAACAAAAAAAATTACACTTCCATTCAGGAATTTAAAATGTCAAACAATGGTTACCACTCAATATATTTTACACTGTATAAAGTTATCCAGATCTTTAGGCACATTAGTCCTGGTTATTATGATAAACTACATCTGGCAGCAAGACCTCTGGTTGGGAGATTGGAGGTTTTGAGGAGTGTAGAACCACCTCTTAGTTGCTGTTGTTCCCAGGCCCACACTGACCCAGGGTAGTAGCACCTGTTAGGGTCTCAGCTATGGGCAAATAGTAAACTCCCAAACAAAAACAAAACATAATGAAAGTATAAAAATACGTTTTTATAGTAAAAATACCTTTGAATTACCAACAATACCTATTTATAGTAAAATCAACAATACATCTTTAAAGCAAAATAACCAATGATACATTTTATAGTAGTTGTAGTAGAATTACCAGCAATATGTTATTATAGCAAAATGACCAAGAATATGTTTTATATGTAGTTTAATGCATACAATTGCATTCAAAATATATTTAGTTGAAGACATAAAATTGTATTCAAAATACTTAGATTTCAACATTAAATAATCCATAAAGATGTTGATATACTGTGAAACAAAATCAACCAAATCTTTAGGCAGATGCAAATGGGATTCCTTGAGGCAGGATTATTAGACACTTTAAATTTGAGGCAAAGCAATAGTCACAAATAGAACTGTATGCTTAGAATTCAGTTTCTTATTTATCCAGTAGCATAGTATGGGCTGCCAGTACCTGAGGAAAAGCAATTATTGCTTTCATTAATCAATCAGCTCTCCCTTCCATCAGTCCAGCATTGACACTGGCCAAAGCACATATATTTCATTTGAATAAAAAAATACAATAATTAAAATGAAATGCATTTAATGGGAGATATGCTGGTAGTGTAGAGGATTTGGGCATCGAAAGTGGAATCAGGAAACCAAGTTCAAATTCTGGGCTTGTCTGTTGCATTCACTTTCACACAAATGAAAAGGCATGACAACATCTCTTCTCCTCCACCTAAACTACAGGTTAAATAGCAAGATAGAGTGGGCTCTCTAGCCTTGGGTGGCAAGAGGCTTAAGAAAAGGAAAACATTGAATTTCAAAGCATGAAAAAGACAATGGAAAACCATTCCACTATCTTACCCAAGAGTGGCAATACACACATAATAAAGGAAAAGAATATGAAGAGAGTCATGTTTTCCTACATCCTAAAGGGATATGGCATTAAAAAAAATGCTTAAATTTATTTAAAATCCCTTGGTTTTAATTTGAGCAAATTTTTCAATAACAGTATTTAAATCTATACTGAATTCTCTTTCACTTGACAGTATTGAAATCTACATTGAAATCTCTTTCAATTGACAGTATTGAAATCTACATTGTAATTTATTTCAATTGACAATATTGAAATCTACATTGAAATTTATTTCAATTAAAAGCATTGAAACCTACAATGAAATCTCTTTCACTTGACACAATTGCAATCTACATTGAAATCTCTTTCAATGAAAAACATTGAAACCTCTTTCACTTGACACTATTGAAATCTACATTGAAATCTCTTTCAATTAGAAGCATTGAAACCTATATTGAAATCTCTTTCACTTGACACTATTGAAATCTCTCACTTTACAGTATTTTCCATCTAAGTTACTTTCTTTTTTAACGAGTGTGGAATTCTTTATATCTAAAGAATGCCACACTTATTAAAAGAGAAGGTAATTTTCTTAAGAGTGTCATTATTGAATTTTATCAAAATATAAATCTGCACTCCAGATTTAAAAAAAAATATTTCCATTTTTGAAAGAAATACTACTTCCCCAAGCCAACATATATGACTATGAAAATATTGAAACATTAAAACAAAATGGTTAAATTCGTAACTTCATGCTATTTTAAATACATAACATAAATTAATTCCAAACTAAAATAATTTAAATACTAATTTGCATAAAATTTTTCAAGAACATCTTTTACTCACTTTTGTTTATTAGAGATTTAAACTATGTCACTTAGCATCCTCCATAACTTACCCAGACTGTTCAGCTCACCTGATCAATATTTATGAGCATTTCTTAATTTAAAACATTTTGAAAACCTATGAACATTTGTGTTCTTGTCTATAAATACTTGTTACAAAATAAAATCCTTGTATTTGCCTTGCAAAGAGGACAAAACACATTGGCTAAAATGTTTTCCTTTTTTTTTATATATATATATATATATATATATATATATATATATATATATATATATTAATGAAAACAAAAAACATTGATGAAACTAATGGACAACTTGCCAAAACCTGAAACTCTTATTCGGCTAATGTCTAAAACAAAAATGACAATACTGAAAAAAGAAAAAGGCCTAAAGGTAAACCAACCTACTCAGTAAACTGCTTGAAGCCTAGATTGTCTAGACAGAGAAAAAATACTTAACATTAAATCCTATGAAAGGATGGCCCTAGTCATAACCAAAATTTCATACTCACACACTCTTCAGATGACTTGAACTTGAAAATATGGAAATATACTACAATGTAATATAATATATTATAATGTAATATACTATAATATATTATAATATTTATATTATAAATATATTATGATATAATCTCTATTTTTTATATATATATATAAATATATTTCAATTTATGCCTGACAATTTCTATGAATTGTACAAAAGAATTACGAACAAAATGTATATTTATTTTTAGTGTGTATATATATATATATATATATATATAGTTTGTGATTGAACTATAAAAGCCAGAGAAGTCACACTGTGTGAAGACTATAAGAATAGTTATATCTGATGGATAGCACACAAGTCTCTGTTCAGTATTGACTGGATCCTCACAGAGAAGGGTTATGATGTTGTAAGACCTGAAACTCCTCCAATGATCCTCAGTTAAAAGCATCCCTGATGATGTGTGCCAAAGCATCAAAACAAATGTATTTCATAAAAAGAAAAATATACAAAAAAAAATGTTTTCTCCTTTATTTTTTATATTTCTTGATTGAAAACCATTTTTCTCTGAAAAAACAAAAATCAGGAATTTATAATCTTTTAAAAGATTATTGCATTTGTTTTGTTTATAAAAGAATTTAAGTTTTGTATAGTAATAAAGCTGGAGATGTTAATGAAAATAGTAAATTTATTTTTTATAATGGTTTTAGGTGAACAGTCAAAAGAAACTCCGTCAGAAGTAAGCACGTCACATTCTGAGTCTGATGATGATGAGGAGGAGAATGCATCAGCAATCATTAAGTACATTGCACCAAAAACTACACAAGCCATGGGAGAATGGGAAGCCCACACCAAGGTTAGCATAATCAATCTGTATTACATATTTATAAAGGAAAAAGATCTCTTCTTTTTGCTAAATTTTCCATTTATTAAAGAAATATCTTCTATCTGCTTCATAAAATGTTATTTTATTTAGTAGATGAAATTTGTTTCAAAATAGTTAACATTTGTAAATAAAAGGAAAATGAATGATAAACTCAAATAAAATGAAATAGCCTATTAATTCAGTTCTTTGAATCATTAATTCTGGTGGACATTTAAATAAATTACATTTAAGTTTTAAAAGCGTTAAATTTATGTTTAATGCAGGTTGCTATTTGATTTTCATGGTAAAGATTTTACTTAATTTTTCAGTTTTGTCCTATGTATTCTTAAATTTTCACCCATGGTTGATATCTGCTCATGAGTGCATTTTTGAATGTTTCAATTTTTGTTTACCTTTGAGCAGTTCACTTTAAATTATCTTACATCACTTTAAATAAATTACTACTTTCAGGTTTAAACATAACAATATGAAGTTGTCACTAAGACATATGTCGTGTTCGGTGGAGAAAGGGCGTATTCAACAAAATAAATCGAAAATTGCTTTTCTTCACAAGCAAATTATTCATTATATCTATTTAAAGTATTTTCCAAAAAATTAGAGCCAATTACACAATATTTCAAGCTCAATTTAGGTTCATAGTTCATAACAATGAAATGAGATGAGGTAACATAAACCATAGAATTGTCTGCAGAATATCGTTATAGTGAAATCATTTAGGTTTTTTGTCAAAAAAATTTTATTTTTGGTTGTGTATTAATTTAAAATATTCCATTTTACAGATTTTACTTTTGAAATAGAATAAGATTATCCTAAATTTCAGAATTTCACTATTGGCCATCAAAATGACTGGAAGAAAATGATCTAAAAACAACAATGGAAAAGAGAGGTAACAAAGTGTTAACAAAATAGCTTCAATTTGTTAAACTTAGGAAACTTAGCATTGCAGCAAAGTATTCTAAAATGCTGCCAATAACAAAGGAGAAAATGAAAAATTCCAAACAACAAATTGGATATAGCATCCAAATTTATATTATTTTTATTTATTTGTTATGTAACTAAATACATAATTGTCAACAATGTTTCCGTAAAACTTGATATTTCCTGTAATAAATTCTTAATAAATATTATTATTGTTATTAGTTAACTTAAGTGTAAGGTAGTCCTACATTTACAATTCCTTATGGCTAACCATGAAAAGAAATATTGATCAAAACTGCCTTAAACATTTAAGTGCATATTGCCGCAAAAGTATCAAGTGTTGAATACACCTCTCCTCCACCGAATGTATTATATAATCATAACCTTCAATAAGTGTTGTCAATAATGAAAAGAAAAATATGAAAATGTCACAACTATTATGGGATAGACATGGTAAGATATTTTAATAAGTATGCCCAATAATGAAAAGAAAAATAAGTAAATCAGATTGTGTAATGGATATCAATGCAGAAAGTGTAATCTGCAAACCAAGTTCAAATTCTGGCATAGTCTGTTTGGATTCATTTTCACACTAATGCTCTTGGGAAAGGCATGAATCCATATCTTCTCTTCCCAGCTAATAACTAGCAGTGCAGATTGGACTCTCAAACCTTTTTTTTGGAAACCAGTCTAGGAGAAGGACAACGCAATCCCAAACCAGTTGAGCATAGGGCTAGCATTTCCACCCCATAAAAAATTAGCGTATATACTTGAGTATGGTGCAAGTTTTTAGGATCATTTTTTATGTAAAAAATAGGGTGTCATCACACTATACATAAGTAATTATTTTGAAGAGGTTAAAAATCATGCATTTTTGGTGACCAGTTGCACTATACACAGGCAAATTTTTTTCTGGAGGGTTTAAAATTCATGTGTTTTTGGCAACCATGACCTACCTGGTAGGCCTACATTCTCACACTACATTTGGCTCACCTTAACAGTACAGGTAAGCTCCTTTAGCCTGCCTTCAATAGCACAGTCAGGCATGAATGAAAACAAAAGTACATTATCTAAAGTTTTGTATCAAATATTTTACGGTAAGTGGTTTTTCTCACCATTTTGGTGTAGCTTTGTGCAAAATGAATGAAAACCATTTATTTACTATAAAATATGTCCAGAATGATGCCCAGTACTACAATGTTTAACTACAGTATAGTAGTCTAATACTATTGCTCAGAAGCTGGGGTCATATACACAAGCTATATGAAAAAATCATTTTTTTCACAAAAGAAATTCAGGGGTTATACTATACATGAAGTATATATGGTACTTGCTACAAAAAACAGGAGCATGCTAAGAAAATACATGCATAACATGGAGAGGTTCTAGACTTATACTCCCCAAGGGTGTCAACAAGATTCACTGCTGCTATCAGAAGTTTAGGGAAATTTAAAGTATAAAATGGCTTCCTTGAAGTAAAAAAAAAAAAATGATAGAAAATGAGATACTTTATTTCCTGGAGGAATGATTTTGAGAGATGTGTGAAATGTCTATAAACAATCAAGAGTGTGAGACTCACCTTTGCAAGTAGGTTTCCAACTAGTGTCCAGTTGGCAGACAAAAATAAACAGGGTTGTAACTCAATACAGATATTTATTTCCATTCATTACAGAAATTGTAGCACATGGCCAACGTGGGGGATGGTCTTCCTTAGCTGTCCTAGTTAATCCGACTCACGATCCATTCATTCATTATAATTTACACATTTACCACAAGAATTTATCCATCACCTCCAATACTGTATACACCAAAATACCACATACTTGCAAGGGAACCTACAAAACACCCTATGTCATAAAAATTTAAAAGTCCATAAATATATACAAACAAAAAATTTCATGATTCATGAAATGATGGGGAAGGGGAGATGAACCCTAAAAACAAACTCAAAAAATAAACAAAAGATACAACCAAAACAAAACTATGTTAGTAGAAACTGTCCACCCCTCAAAATAAGAGAGGCCACTGTATTCTGCCACTAGACAGAATCAAGCAGCACACTCACTAATGGAATGGGTAGGATAGAATAAATGATGGAACGGGAAAATCAAAGGCTGACTCTGTCAAGATAAAAACAAGGGACAACAAAAAACTGGGGAGTTTGGGAATCTCGACATGTTTCATAACAAAAAAGAGTGCCAGGAACAGGCTGGAAACAACACTCATTAACTAGGAAAACAATATAGAGCTAACTTGACCAGAGGAGTGTTCACAGGAAACTGCCTCATTGTATCAAGGGAACTCAGAAGAGAAAATCAAGGTTAGCCCCATCCACATGAACCAGGCTCACCTCAGTCATTCATCTTTCGCTGAAATTTGTTGAAATCAAACACTTATGATCAGATCTGATTTTTACCCTAAGCTTAAAGATGCTTAAAGAAAACAACCAGATCCTGATACAAATGACGTTCATTTTGTAAGATTCCCTCCTTTCGTGACATCCATATCACCATTCTAGCCACAGCTAGCAACGTGAAAAATACCATTTGTTTTACCCCAGAGAATGGGGGCGGCACATTGTTGCACGCATATGCAAGATAAATGGACACAAGCTGCTCAGGATCAATACAAGCTGTCAACTCACTGACATACTCCCAGGAGGGGCACACCTGAGGACAATGGTAGAAGGCGTGCCCAGCCGTTTCTTCTAAACCAAGGTCACACCGATGACAGTCTGGCAAATCTGTCTGGCCCCATTTGAACAGTTTGTCATTGAGAGGTAGCACATTCCGAATCAATCACCAGCTAAGCAAAAACACAAAGTTACTGAGATAATCTGCCGCTGGTGCCCAGGACCACAAAGAGTGCAACTCTGATGCTGACAAGCCGAGCCAGTCTGATGCTGACAAGCCGACCCCCTCCACTAATTCATGATACAATAGTCTCTGATGTCGAGAAAAGTCACTGGACCGAGGAATGGCCCTCAAGGCTGACTGACACTCACTGAGGAAACTCAATAAGCTTCCACAACTGCGAAATGGGAGGAGTGATGGTAAAGCTAAGGAAAGCATCCCTAAAACTTGGTGCCAAAATCGAGTCCTCTGTCAAAACGTGGTGTAGGAAAGCCAACCTCGAGGCATGGGGATGACTCGCCAGGTGTGGCAATCCCAACCCCTAACCATGACATGGATGTTGATAACAGGCTTCTTTACGGACCCAATGTTTGCGACCACCCCACAAAAGGTTGGTCAATGAATGTTCAATTGCCTCAATACAAGTCTCACAAAGAGGAAGTACAGCCAAGCGGTAAAGGATGAGGGGCAAGACGTAAGTGGCACACGTCTCCGCCCTACCCTTCAAGGACAATCCCCTTCGAAGCCAAGTCCAAACCAACACTTCGACTTTTGTCTATACTTCTAACCAATTCTCCTCCAGCTGGACCCGAACCACACTCCAAGAATGTGGATGGGTCCATCAGTCCAACCAAAGGGCCCCAGAAGCACGGTCCCCACTTCCAGGGACCTAACCACAAGCTGGAAGACTTGTTACAGTTAATCTTCACCCCTGTCACCTTCTCGTACCGTGCGAGCACCTTCTGCACCACCTTAATGTCGTGACACGAAAATGGTTATGTCATCGGCATACGCAGAAACCCTGGCTCAAGCTCTACTAGGGAAAACGACTATTCTGCGTAGGGCTGGACTGCATGCACCAGCAAAGGAGAGGCTCCAACGCCAAAGTATAAAGTAATGGTGACAGCAGACAACTCTGTCGGACCGACTGTGACAGTGCAAAAGTGCTCAACTGCTTCCCATTCACATGTACCATCGCACTGGGAGAGTGATACAGGAGGCTAATCCACTTTCAGAAGTTGGGTTTGAATCCGGCGGCCTGCAGAACAGCAGCCAAGTACTGATGGTCTACCCTGTCAAATGCCTTGGACTGATCCAAATTGGTCAGCACAGCTCCATCATTGTCTTTTACTTCCTCTATGATCGTGCAGATCAGATGCAGGTTGTGTCGAATTGTTTGTCCACTCACAGCACAAGTCTGCTCGGATCCCAACAAGCTCATGACAACTGACTGCAAACGCTCCATCAGGATCTTTGCCAAAAACTTTAACTCTGTGTTTAGCAGAGTTATGGGCATATAATCATCTAAATCCCTCCCAAAACCCTTGCCCTTTTTCGACGGTGTGATCACACACCTGGAAATCCGGTCAGGGATGGACCCCTGCCAGAACCAGTTGTTGAACACCACTGTCAAAATTGGGACAAAGATGTGCGACAGCCTCAAGTGCATTTTATAGGGCAGACCAAGTCTCAGCAACTTGCCTCTGGTGACCTTCTTTGGTGCCAAGTAGACTTTGCCCTCTGTGTTCTCTCCCTCACAGCTAGCCGCTTCAGCTGGGAAAAGCTGGGGAAAGTCAGCCAAATAGCTGCAAAACTTGTCGCCACTGAGACCAGGCTCTTTGGTAAAATGACTCTCGAAATGCTGCCAAAACACCTCGCACATGTCTTTGGTCAACCTCAGAGAACACCCCTCCGGGGTAATAACCTCACGAATGTATCGATCGGAACCTGGAACCTCCGACGCAATTCTTCGCCCATGTTCACTGCCTCGTTAGACATCTTGTTTAATCTATGTCTAACTACCTGACCCTGATAGTGCTTGCTCGCCTCATGCTTCAGGGCCTGCCTAGCTATGGCTATCTCTAGGGAATACCCTCCAGCCACTGCCCGGGGCAGACTATCCTCTAGAGCCTTCACCTTTTTAGCCTTATCTAGGGCGAGTTGTTGGCTATATTCAGTAGTGAAAGACCTAATTCTATCCTTATGCCTCTCTCCCAATCCCTACTCCCAATAACCACCCTAACTAAATCCTGCTTACACTAATCTAATCAGCTGTTGCTGAAAGTCCCGCCTGTCCAGTAAGGACAGATTGAACTTCCAGTGTCCAGCCATTCTAGGCCTATTGCCTAACACCATCCCGGCACAGATGAGTCTATGATCCGAATAGTCTAAACAGTGGAATGTGGGACAATCTAGTAAATCTAGGTTGACCCTTCTGATTAACGTTCTATCCAGGTAGCTGGCTACCTGGAGAGACAGCCAATTATGGGTTGACATCCACCTCTCCCGCGCCCAGATGATCGACCCGGTACCTATCGATGAGCGCAAACTCTTTGATAAGATCAAACAAGTTATGATCAACTGACCCGATAGCACCCCACCCCCTGTCTACAAGATGGCATTCCAGTCCCCCATTAAGACTAAGCATGAAGAACCCACCAGGAATGGCCCCAACTGACGGAAAAAGTTGACACGCTCCCCATGATTGTTGGGCGCATAAACTGCAATGACCCAAATTGAACCACTGTTCACAGCAATATCGCCCATGACCAACTGGCCCTCTGCGTCTACATGGACAAGGTCCACCCTCACCCCCAGGGAATGTTTGACTAACAAGGAAACACCTCTGGCCTGCCGGTCTCTATACTGAATAGATGACATCAACATTGCAAACAAAGTGTGTCTCCTGGATTGCAGCCACATCTATACCAAACAATAAGAAATCACGAAGCAGGTGGGCTGCCTTACTCCTATCTCTCAAGCCATTCACATTCAAACTAGCTAGCTTAATAGACATCTTTTAAATTGGAGTCCCTTAGACACAGACTGGACGAAAATCTGTGGGAGTCAAGGCCCCGACGGATTGTCCCAAACTCCCAGTACCTACATCGGACGTAATTTGTCCTTCTGTGAGAATACTGCTGATGTCTGTAGGAAAAGTTAATTTTATTGCCCTATATAGAGAGGGGTGGAGAAGAACTGGGGGCCTCCCTGCACAATATTGTGATAACTTTTTAAGCTCTGGTGATTTTATCTGTAACATCCGGAGTTTCGGGAATGTGTTTTTGGCTTCTGCCAAACAGTCCCATATTTTAAGGTTTCCCCCGGTGTTCCTAATTAGTGTAATAACACTGGGGATGCCAGGAAAGTTTCTTGCATCCACTGTTGACTTTCCATCAACAGAGGTGCATTTGAAGAGAGGCCTCAAGAGAGCCTTCCTCTGGGAGGAAAGGTCCCTCTCAAGGTACTCCCAGTCCACAGTACATATCTTGTCCCATCTGGGGGGGTCTGCTTCTTTTTTTTTCCTTGGGATTGGTAGGGGGAGGGAGACGGGGAAGACAGAGCCCTAGTAGGGGAGGAGTGCTAGCTCCTTGTCTTACCTGGATGATCTTTTTCCATTCTTGTTGGTGAAGTAGGCATGGATTCTCTGCCCTACTCCGGCCCGTTCTTTCCTTTTTGGTGGTAGTTACCAAGTCCTCTTCATCCTCCTTGCCTCTTACTCTCTTCAGTGATAAGGATCGAGGCAGAGGCACTTCCTCCTCCTCCTCCATATAGCAGTCCAATTGAGGCAGCTCTTCCATAGCCTCCTGCTCTGGTCGCTTTGGGGCCTCTTTTTCCAGCCTCTGTTTTTGCTGCACTGGCTGCTGCTGATTCTGCTGCTCCTGCTGCCCCCATTGCTGATCTCTCAGCCTCTGTCACTGCTGCCGTTCTGCATCTCCTGCTGTAGTTTCAGCTGCTTATCTGCTGTCTTTGCAGCTGCTTTCCCAGGGACTTCCTTTTCCTGCTGCTGTTTGACAACACCATTGTCTGGGACATCCTGCTGGGGAGGCGGAGTTGTTGCCTTCACTTCCTTCCTCACCACCTCCGTTCATTCTCCACCGGGGACCTTCGTTGCTTCCTCCCTAGGCTGCTCTAGTGTTGGCTGCGGTGGTGATTTTGTCTGTGGTACCGGCTTTCTGGTTGGACACAACTTAGCCAGGTGTCTAGCTGCACCACAAGCCCAACAGGAAAGGTGACGATCCTCCACAACAACAAAAATGCTGTGGCTGCCGCACAAGATAATTTTTGTGATCTCATTAAACTTTGGTTGGGTCAATGTCACCAGGACCTCAGAATGGCTGGTGGCAATGCCCGACTTACTTTTGATCGAGGACACCTCCTCCACTGGACTATACTCTGTGAAAAAAAGCCCCCAAATGGTCTTCTGTGATTCTGTGATAGTTTTTTTGGGTGCCCATGTATTCCATTTGCAGCCTCATCATTTTGGTGGTGAGGGTGCTCCTAGCCAGTGCTCTTGCAGCTTCTTCACTTGACAGCAGGATGTCCCACATGGCATTGGACCTTCAGGCCAAAACTTTGGCCCCCAATATTCAGAACCTTTAGGGTCTCTTCCATGGCCTCCCTGTTGACAGCCATGAACTTTCTGTATCTGTCTATATTTCTGAGATGAGGTATTATGTACACTATTTACATTATTCAGACTATTGTCCTCATCTTTGTCGCCATGTTTATCACGTTTCGGACGTTTCTTCAGGTGATTGGAATCTTGAACTGAACCCTTTATTTCACTTACTGGGGTAGACTGTTCTAGTTGCATGTTCCATGTCTAATGGATGTCAGTTGTCTCCTGTTAATTCCCCTCTCAAAGTTCTCCACTGCCTTAACCAGGTATTGAACTCACACTCTTTTGGTCCTGTCACTGGATCTAACTAACACCTTTATCCACTGTCCTCAAAGACACAGGGCACAATGAATAAAGCTTATGGTAAGGTCTATGACAATAAAATATCTATAGAAATTCCCATATGACATTGTTAAATATTTGAGCTTAACAACTTTAACAAAATATTGCAATAACAATCATAAATATGAATGCTCGTTGTTATTTTAAGAAGTAAGGGGGTACAAATGAAAAGATTTGAAACTGAAAACTTTTTCCATTTCATTAAAGCATACTTTAGTTTAGACACCTCTGTCTTCCTTTCATTCATATGTCTTATTTTTCTAAACAATCAAAATGGAAAAGTCCATTATTTATGAGGTATTGACAGGAGACATTAAACACTTCTATCTTCCCTTCTTTCCAGTGAAATCTCCATCTTACAAATGTTTCTCTTAATAATTTTAAAATAGTTCAGCAGATGATATTATTTTATTTGTGGTAACTGTTTCTTTTGGTGATTGCCTTACATGGTTTCCACCATTCGATATTTACATCTGAAAAATGTCTCTTTTATTTCAGTTGCCCATGCCTCTCAGCTTTTTGGCTGAGATCAAAATTTGTAATATCTGTTCTTATCAGTTTAACCTGATTCTCTCTCTCTCTCTCTCTCTCTCTCTTTCCAATTTTATCTTCCCTTCCTTCTTTCTTTTACTTTCTCACTGAAACCATGTAATGTCTTTCCCCTCTTTCCATGCAATCAAAACACTGAGTATGTCATTATTTGTGAAGTATTAACAAGACATAACAGCAGGCAAACTAATGAAGGGAAGGACAAATACATTTTTAATAGGATAATTTCAGAATATCAAATTAAAATATCAAAAGATATCAAATGAATTTTAGGATAACACTTCTTATTAATATTCAGAATATTCACTTTTATTCTTATATTCTTATTAATATTCAGAATATTCACTTTTATTCTTATATTCTTATTAATATTCAGAATATTCACTTTTATTCTTATATTCTTATTAATATTCAGAATATTCACTTTTATTCTTATATTCTTATTAATATTCAGAATATTCACTTTTATTCTTATATTCTTATTAATATTCAGAATATTCACTTTTATTCTTATATTCTTATTAATATTCAGAATATTCACTTTTATTCTTATATTCTTATTAATATTCAGAATATTCACTTTTATTCTTATATTCTTATTAATATTCAGAATATTCACTTTTATTCTTATATTCTTATTAATATTCAGAATATTCACTTTTATTATTAAATGTAGCTCCAAATGAAATTAAAATATTCAGAAATTGAATGATGTAACTTTTGTTTCTTTCAGGGTTTTGGTTCTCGTATTATGGCAAAAATGGGTTACATTGTTGGACAAGGATTAGGAAAAAATGGAGAAGGTAAAGCTGAGCCTGTTCCAATTGAAGTTCTTCCTTCTGGTAAGTTTATTTTTTTATGCCATTTACTTAACTGTAATCACATTATCCATTATTTTCATATTGCAGTAAACCCTTGATTTAATAAATTTCAGATTTTGAAAAAGACTTTATCCATGGGCTGAGACTAGGCCTGAGCAAGACTCAATTTTGAAAAATAGACATATATCCAAGCTTGGATTGAGCTCATTGCATTTTACTGTTGTAACCTAGGAAAGGTTACTGAATAGAATAATCACATGAAGGTTGGTAATGAACGATAATACTTAGGACAAGAACAATACATATAAGATTCGCCAGTGGTGCATAGAAGTAGTCAACTGCTACAAGTGAGTCAAGTGAATTCCACAATGTATCTCCAATTGCAGGATTATCTACCAACTGCCTTACAACATATTCATCTGCAAAAAAAGAATTATTCTTATAATCCTAAATATGTTTTGGCTTTAAATTATACACAAAAGATTTATAAGCCATAAAACACCAATCAATCATTGAATCAATTGGATCACTATTAAAAAAAGGGTTAAGAACTGCTGAACTTCACTGTCAAAAAAGGATAAAATAAATATCATATATTCTTTATTACAATTTAATAACTTTGTATTGTATATCAAAGCTTCTTTTTATATTAAAAAATAAAAATGTTAAAAATTGGCTTTCAATGTTACATTCAGAATTAATGAACTTTTGACATTAATGGCCGCCCCCTCCATTAGTCTATTAAATTGAGGGTTTACTATATTTCTTTAGTTATCATTTGACATTTTCCAAATATCTTTTTCCCATCATACATAACTAGACTAATCTCATGTAGCATTATATGGGTTAATGAAAAGTTCTTGGCCTAACCAACTTCCCAAAATCAGTATTTCAATGATGAAAATTTCCTTTTGAAATGGATAAAGAAACTTGAGAAATGATATTCCAAGTCTGTTGCACTTTGAGGTGAATATGTGGAATATCATTTATGCTTCCTTCTCCCCTATTAAGCTGGCCCAAAACTGTTCAGTCCTCCTTGACTTGTATACCCTGCTATATTCTATTTCAATTTACATTCTAAGTATCTTGTTACATATCAGTCACTTAAAGATTACTCTTTCTGTTTAATATGTATCCTTTAGTTCTTTTAGTCACCAGTTGTTACATATGTATGAAAAAATAGCTCTTTCCATCACTCCAGAGAGTATCTGACTACTACTGCCATGCTTTATCTTTACTTCTTATATATGCCATGTCCTTTCAGGATATTAGTGTTCATGGTACTCTACAATTCCCTGTCCTTTGTAGCTCTCAATAAATTTTGTCTTTTTGTTGTCTTTCCTAAACCTCTTTCTGTCATCTATTTACACAAGCTTGTTTGGTAGGTTATGCATTGTTTTCCTCTGTCTCTCTTGCCTTCAATCTATACTGTAAGTATCAAATTTTCCAAGCCCTCTTTCCACATCATGTGTCCAAGAAATTTCAACTATCTCTTCCTGATATTAAGTATAAGTGTCTGTTTTGTTTCCCTTTTCTCTTTCTTATTACTTTGCTTAGTTTTTACAAGACATCTTTCACTATCTCAGTGCATCTTTGGATTTCAATGTTGCACTTTCTGTCCTCTGTTAAAGCATTTCCCAGGTATCTAAAGTGTTGTAGTTGTTTGATTTTGGTATCTCCAATTTGTAATTTGCTTGTTGGGCTGTTTCCAGTCAGAGTAAATCAAAAATAAAATATTGCTGCCATATCTGGGCTGGAGATGCTCAATCTTCACTTTCCAGCCTTGATAGAATTCAAAATTTTTTATGCAGTCCTGTGGGGGAAGACTTATTCTCCATTCTGCAACATTGTAAGTTTATTTTTATTTTTATGATAAAGATTCAGATTTAGTTCCACCAGTTCAGACCTTTACAACTAGGACATGCCATGCTACTTCCACAGAGTTGAAATACCTTATTTCCCCTGTATTTCAATTGTAAGGAGGCAGTTCCATTTGGACAGCCTTTTCACAAGAACTGCCACTTTGTGTAACAGATTTCTACTTAGGGTCTTCCATGAGCACTTCAATTTTCTTCAAGTCAAAGATCAATCATTATCTTTCTTCTTTCAATATTCACTTCCTACCATCCCATTCATATCCTGCACCTCATTCTTCGTTACGATTTTGACTATAATCCACTACTTTGAGTGGCCCTTGAGCCTTGAGTGAAATTTAGTAAAATAAATCTTGAAAAAGTTGTAAAGAACTGTGCTTGCATGGATATCTGTTGAGTTAGAAGCCATGATCAAAATGTAAAATAAATAACACAACTGTCCAATGAACATAATTAATAAAGTTTACAAAGAAAGAATAGAGCAAAAAATGTTATAATATCAAGAAAGCAAACAATATCTGCAACAAAAAAAAATAACAAGGAGGAAGGCAAAGAGGTGATAAACTATGAGTTGGTGCTTTGCACACAAAAGTAAAGTTAGACAAGCAAAGTCATTAGACAGACACACTGTATTTGCTTGAGGTAAGGCAGATCTGGACTGAGTCATGTCAAAACACAAGTCATCCCATTTTATTGGCTAAGAAAAATATTCCAGCATGCATTTTGAGGACTTTTGCCTATAAAAGGGGAGGGTGGAAAAGTTTTACAGTCATTCCCAGAAAGGGAGTGAAATCAACAATATCAGTTGTTTCCTGTAATCTTTCTTATCAAATCATGGAAAGTTATCTTGAATGGCCACTCTTCTAGATCTATTTGTATTAATCTTGGTATCCCCCAGGGCTCTGTTCTTGGACCTTACTAATTTTCATAAATGACCTTCCTGATGTCATCAGTTCTCAATTCAGTTTCTATGCTGCTGACACAACTATTTACTCCTGTCTTAATAGTAAGTCTGTTAGGTTTGATAAGATCAGATTAGCAGCTGATCCCCAAAATGACCTACAATCTTTTGTTAGCTGGTGCAAGGAATGACTTTAAAAGAGTCCAAAATGAAACTGCCAACTGCTCTCTTTTAATTGCCTGAGAGAACTCTTTTTGTTTTACATCAGCATGGCTGATGCTAACCTCCAGAAGAGAGACTTCTTGCTCCTTCTCAGGCTAATGCTTTCCACTGACATGAACTGGAAACATTATACTGAATCAATTGCTAGGTCTACTGCTAGAAAAGTTGTGTTCATTGGTGCTTCTGCTATATATTTACACATTTTTGATAAAATACAAAGAAGGATCTGTAGTGTTATTGGCAGCTCAGCTACAGTCACTTTTCCACCACTCTGATGTAGTTTCCTTGTGCTTTTTCTGTAAATATTTTCATGGTAATTGTTCTGATGAACTTTCCTCTATGGTACCTAGACTTTACAAATTCAAGTGCAGTACTAGATTGGCAGTAGTTTCTCATCATTTTATCATTGAAATGGTAATAGGTAACTGGAAGTTCTGTGTTAATAGTTTCTTCTCTCACACTTCTTGCTTATATAACTTTCTTCCAGCTTCTTGCTTTTCAGTCAAGTTCAAAGATTTAAATGCAGTCTCAATTGTTATCTTCTTAATTCCTGTTCTTTTATTGTTGTCTCTCTCTAATGTTTTTTTTCTCATATTCTCTCACTCATTAACTCTCTTGCATCTTAGTGACCTTTTTTTAAGGTGAAATGATTAAAAAACAAACTGTATTTGCATCTGATTGATACTGTAATATCTCCCTTCCATTATATGTCACACAAAATGATTTTGATTCATCAAATTGAACACTACTGACATCATTCATCTGCTGACCCTAAGCCCAATAGAAGAAGCAGTGGGAGCAGTTATTATTCAGTTATTTAACAGGTTCGTTGACATCTGCTCTTCTCTCCATTCTCGCCAACTTGTTTCACCTTTTTTGGATAGATTTGTGACTGGCGACGAAAAATGGATCTTTTATCGAAATGTTAAGCATCGTAGACAGTGGCTTGGTAAAGGTGAAGGACCCCAGCCACAGCCGAGAAGGGAACTTCATGGGCAAAAGGTTCTTCTTTCAATCTGGTGGGATCACCAAGGAATAATCCACTTTGAATTCTTACCACGTAATGCAACAATTAATGCTCAAATATACTGTCAGCAATTAGAGTGTTTGAACCAAGCTTTGAGGAAAAAAAGACCTGCTCTAGTGAATTGAAAAGAGGTGATGTTTCATCAGGACAATGCGCGACCCCACACAGCAAGAATCATATCACAAAAGATCAAAGAACTTGGTTGGGAGAAAATTCCTCATCCACCTTATTCTTCCAATCTTGCTCCTTCAGACTACCATTTGTTTCGTAGCTTACAGAATCATTTGGAAGAATTAGCTTTTGTAACACAGGAAGAGGTTAAAACTGACATTTGTGAGTTCTTTGAATCAAAGCCAAAAGAATTTTACAGTAATGGAATTAGTAAGCTTGTTAATAGATGGAAGGAAGTGATAGATAATCAGGGAAAATATATTGTTGATTGAATTTGTAATTAAATGTAACATTTGGTCACTTGTTTTCTTTATTCAAAATTCGAACAGAACTTATGGGATGACCTGATAATTAGGGGAAGCATAGCATGTGGCCTGAAAGAAAAGAGAATTAAATATTTTTTTATCTTTTTCTGGACATTTGATTTCTCCATAAAATAAATCCATACAGCCATTTCTTGATGCTTTTGACGGTGTCCAGCAGAAACCAGATGATCATAATTTTTTCTAGGTGGGGTGATCTTTTTCATAAATTCACCTAAAATTTAAAATTTAATTTATGGTCTCCCCAAAACCCATAAGCCTAACATTCCATTAAGGCCCATTATCTCGGGTATAGGCTCAGCTCCTCATAATATCGCTAGGTTTTTAACTAAATTTCTAACTCCAATTCTGGGCACCATAAGTAACGCACATGTAAAGAATTCAAGCTCTCTTCTAAATAAGTTGAGTAATATTGATATAGGTAACAAATCCCTAGCTAGCTTAGACATTAAATCTTTATTTACCAATATACCTGTTGATAAATGTATTAGACGATTAGAGAACCACCTTAAGAAAATTGACTTTAAGCTACCTATCACTATCTCGAAATGCATCAAGTTATGCATCCTATGCACTTCACATTGTTTCTTCCAGTATAATAATATTTATTATAAACAAAAATTTGGTTTACCAATGGGGAGTCCTCTCTCTGGATTCCTAGCATGCATATTTCTAGAATTTCTTGAATCTGGACCTTTTAAACATGTCATTCCACGTGATACACATTACTTCCGATACATCGATGACATTTTATTTATCTACCCACATAAACATGATTTAAACGAGATTACTGATAGATTAAATAAAATAGAACCTACTATAGAATTTACCTATGAACTTGAGTCTAATAATTCTTTACCTTTTTTAGACATACTACTCATTAAAAATAAAAATAAATTAGAATTCAAAGTATATCGTAAACCCACATGTAAAAATGACTATTTACATTTTTACTCTCACCATGATACTAACACTAAGAGGGGTATTATTATGGGATTCTACTTAAGGGCTCTTCGCATCTGTTCAGCAAAATATTTAGATGATGAATTCAGATATATTGAGGATACCTTTTCAAATCTTTCGTATCCGAGACAATTATTACTGAGAGCTAAAAATAAAGCGTTGAAAATTCACTCATCAGCTCAAAATGACACCTCGAAGGCCACTACAACTACATCAGTGAAAGGTACACTTTCAGCTGCCCCTGATAATAATTCTTTTGGTCGCATCTTTCTACCAAATAACCATTTGACCGAACGTATCTCCAATAATTTAAATGCGTTAAAAATTAAAACTACAATATTACCTATTAGAACTATCTGTAGTTTATTAAATAGCACTAGCAAACAACATATTAAATCCGATGCTTGCATCTACCAAATCTCATGCAAAAACTGTGACTTAAAATATGTGGGTGAAACATGTAGGTCCGTAAAATCTCGTGTTTTTGAACATAAACGAGATATTCGCCTCAGAAATTTAAACAATGCTTTAGTTGTATACACAACTAAAGCAGATCATAATTTCGATTTTGATTCCGTGAAGATTTTAAAATATTTTCATAATAAAAATCTTAGGCGGATTTATGAAGCAGGCATAATATCTATCTCACGCACGGTGAATACTAGACCTGGCTTCTTTAGTATTTCCCCTTTTCTAGCAAGATTAATGCTCGACAAGCGTACATATAAATTTTAGATCAAAATAGAATTCTTTTCATTTTCATTCAAAATACTCAAATTTTAGGAATACATTTTCACAGCGTCGCCACGGATTATTAACGTGACCATGTTTAAACAGAACACTGATCTTATAAAACTTTCAGTTATCTGTTTGGATAAGTCTTGTTCTTATGTCCATCGTCTTTGTCATGTTGAATTGATAATGTTAATTATATTTTATGAATATGTCCTGAAGATGGTTTATTAGACCGAAACGTCCGATGTTGACATTATATTAACATTAAAACAGCATAATTGCATATAAGAATTTTTGTTTGTTTTTTCTGTATATTTTTCTTCATACTGTCGGATCTACATCCATATATTTGCTTACACTAAAATTTAAAGTAGTTGAGATGGTTAGCTTTTAGTTAAGGTTTAGATCACCCCTTGTTACAGTCCTCAGAAAGGAATTAGTCAACCTGAACAAGTGACACCTCAAAGAGAGTAGTAACAGGTTGTTTCTAAGGAAGAAGAGGAGGTGGCAGCTATGAGTGGAAGTCAGAGATGCTGGAGAAGGCAAGTTGGAATTTGATGGGTGGATTAACCCTCTCACTGCCACTAAGGGACTGGAAATTGCTCAAAATTGGAAAATCTTAGTTGAGACAAAGGAATGGTTGATATTTCTATGTCAGCAGACCCCCACCCAGTTTTGGGTGAAATATTATTTAACCAGGCATTTTGAGGCTTTCATTGAGAACAAAGCTGCAGGTCGAGCAGAGAAGAACCACAAGTTGGGTGGAGCAGATCAGTAGACTCCAGAGTAGTTCAGCAAAGTCCACAGAAGAACACCGAGAAAGAGTTATCACTTAGATTTGAATTAGAGTGTACCTAAGAACTGACAAGGCTACCTCTGGAACCTATGATCATGTACCAACAATTAGATGTCCAGAGTGAGCAACTAAGAGCCCAAGCCTGTATAATTGTCCATCACTCCCACAATCTTTTTTTTAAGTATGTATGTTTTTCTGATATTACCTTGTATAAACAATTTGTTAAAGTTGAAAAGAATTGTTGTCTCCCTCATTATATTACCATCAGAGCCGTTGTAACCATGGTATACCAACTCCATCAGCAGATTTCTGGTTGTTTGAGATCAGTCACAATGTGGGAATTTGACCAAACTTTTTGACAACTGTAAAAGTCACTGCAACCAACAGTTGATAGAAGAAATCAGATACTGATGACCATTATCGGATATTCAGTGAGCCCTTTAGCTCATCAGTTGACTAGATGGTGTTATAAATATAATGAACCCAATGAGAATTAGAACTCAGCTCATTGATTAACAAATTCTGAGGCATTATCCATTACACCCTCACCCCCAGCACATCCAAGCTTGCATCTTATTCTCAAGTGGCCACTCATCTAGTTACTGATCAAGCTTGATGTTGCTTAAGTTTGTTGATCATATGGTAAACAGTGTTTCAACATGATATAGCTGTAAGCCTTCTTTTGTTTAGGTAATCACTCCATCTATATATGATCAATATTAGTTTATTATCTGGTCATATTTTCATTTGCTATTATAAGTTTGAAGTTTTAGTTTGGTGAGATTGGATGATCATGGCTTCACAATGTTTGTCTCTTTGCTAAGCTTCCTGCCCCTCCCATGTTTCACTATTCATTCACACAAGCTCATCAGAAAGGGGCCCTTTCTCTCCTTCTTGACCTTGTTATTATCTGTGAGTCTCAAATTCTCCAAGCTGTCCTTTTTCATTATGTATCCAAGAATTTTCAGCAATCTCTTTCTTATTCTTTGAGTCTCTTGTTTTCATTTTCCTTAAGACTTCATTGCTTAGGCACTCCATCTGTGGTATTCTCAGCATCCTTCTGTAGAAACATATTGCCTCCAGTTTTCTCTTCATCTGTGAAGAGATTGTCCAGCATTCACAGCCATACAAAAAGATTAACCTTATATAACAGTTCAACACTCTTTTTTTTCTCACAAAATTTTTCTGTTTTTTAGTATTTAGCTAGGTTGGTTAATTGTACATGTCAAACCTTGTTGAGGTATTTAATGTTGAATTTTGTATGGGTCACTCAGAGAGGATCAAGCTCACTACTCAGATTTTTGTTTTATAATACCATCTCCCTTCAGAATGGAAGTAAGCATAACTTTCAACAGATTCATATTTATTATCTGGAAATTGCCAGGCATTCTTTAGAAAGAAGTGGGTTCCCATTATCTTCACAGTTTAAAATTCAGTGTCCCTTCTCTTAGACAAGTAACCACTCAATGCTAGATAATTCAGTCTACCCTGCCATTTATTTCTTAGCTAGAAAAAGAGATAGATCCATGCCTTTCCCAAGATTATTTGTGTGAAAGTGAATGCAACAGATTATCCAGGTATTTGAATTTGGCTTGCCAGTTTCATTTTTCATGCCAATATCTATTGCACCAGCTGCACATTCACCATTATACAGTAACTATGGTCACACAGACTAGCTTCATTAACCATTACTTCATGACAAGGTGAGATTTAATTTTGTATGAATTAGATGCAATTGTATTTAGTTTATGTTATTAAGTGCAAAAAATATGTTTTTTTATTAATTGGTGGTGATAATGTTTTCTTGTTTTTTTTCTAATTAAAATTCACAGGTAAATCTCTTGACACTATTATGCAGTTAAAGGAACAGGCAGCTAATAAAGATCTGTTCAGTGCTTTCAACAATGAGAAGAAGAAGCAGAAAAAAATTGAGCAACGTAATAAAAATGCATATAATAAACCTGAAAATACAAATGTATTTGACTTTATTAACAACAGATTATCTCAGCGAAAAGGTAAGTGTTATTATTTTCTGTCATTTATACTAATATTTTTAATCTTTGCTTCCAATTTCAGTGTTATTCTATATTTTAATTTAAGAAATCTTATAACATCTTTCCTTATCAAAGGTTCTGGTTATGTTTTGAAGAATATGTTTGCTTGCTTTCTTGGCTTTTTTTTTAATCATTTCACTCCAAGCATGATGGAGTCATGGATAGCAGCTCAGATTGAGGAATCGGAGAGCTGAGTTTGAATTCCACTCAAGTTTGTTACATTCAAATACATGCAAATACCCTTGAGAAAGGTATGACTCAATGTCTTTCCCCTCATCCCAGCTATGGATAAATCAAGAGACAGACTGGGTCTTCTAGGCTTGGGTAGCAACTGGTCTAAGAGAAGGAAAACTCTGAATTAAAAATCTGAATGGTCGGTGACTAAACCAGTTCCCCAAACAGACCTTGGTCTGGTGAAGAGGGTAAGTGGAACCCCCAGCAGCACAAAAAAAAAACAAGTTAATGAGCAGATGAACTTCTCAGAAGCAACAGCTATCCACCTAAACTATAGGTTACATAACTTCACCAACTCACAATTGGCCAAGCATGGTGAATATGGCTATACCTCTGAAGACATGGTCAATCAGGGTGTTGTCTCTCCAATAGGATTTGGATTTGGAAGGCAATAAAACCACTAAGATGCTAGGGGTTACTGAGTGTGAAAGAATATGAGAAAAAGAAAATCTTTTTTTAAGTGATGATATTTTTATCAATTGCATCACAAACTTACTCTCCAGTCAAGTAAAACAACTAAGTGTAAGTCGTTGAAGTTTCAACTTTAAGTTTAAAACATACGCATAAAAATTTGTTCATACACAAACACATATGTGTGCGTGATATTGATTCCTTTATAAGGTCATACAATCATTTACTATCAGAACTAAAGGTTATACAGGCCATCCTCGATTTAATGTTGGAGATCTGTTCCTATGGTGTGATGTAACCTGATTTTTGACGTAGGTCAGAACTTGCCTACATAAGCACCCACAAGTCTGCCTTATGCTTGGGAGCCATAATGAAGAGCAAAAAGTTCCCTAAAAAATGACACAAATGAGAGATAGTGAATGCAACACAATCCAATATGGCGTACAGCTGGTGAAGATACAATGCCATCTTTTTCATATAATGCCACTTGATGACATACTATATTATGGGAGATGGCGCTGTAACCACAAAATTCTGTATGTCAGGTCCGACATAACTTGAGGACTTTCTGTATTATGATAATATCCTTTAAACTGTTACACAAGTTAAATTTTACCTAAATTAGAGTAGTTCGAACCATATGTTGGTCCATAGCCTGACCTAGTTATGAGCTGAATTTTGATCTGAAATTTTCACTGTATAATGTTCATCTATGTGATTAATAGTCACCATGGAATGAAGTGCATTAACAATGAAGGATATTATTGAAAATATTTGCTGTGAGAAAACCAATGCTCTATTCATCATTGGGACATGAACTTATTGATATACCTATATATATTAAGTTCTTAGTTCTTGGATCCTAGACTATATTTTGATAATTTCTATATAATATAAATTTCCTTAAAATAGAATTTTCATTCATTAATTCTTGTGATAAGGGATATAGAAAAAAGAATGAATAATTCAATGCTTGAATATATAAAGTGTTTGTGTCAAGTAGAAATCTTATTGGTCCTTCTTAGGAAGGCAAAAATACAATCTCATGGCTTTGATATGTAAAGTGTTTGTACCAAGTAGAAATCTGATTGGTCCATCTTAGGAAGGCAAAAATACAATCTTATTGCTTTGATATGTAAAGTGTTTTTATCAAGTAGAAATCTTATTGGTCCTTCTTAGGAAGGCAAAAATACAATCTTATTGCTTTGATATGTAAAGTGTTTGTACCAAGTAGAAATCTGATTGGTCCTTCTTAGGAAGGCAAAAATACAATCTTATTGCTTTGATATGTAAAGTGTTTGTATCAAGTAGAAATCTGATTGGTCCTTCTTAGGAAGGCAAAAATACAATCTTATTGCTTTGATATGTAAAGTGTTTGTACCAAGTAGAAATCTGATTGGTCCTTCTTAGGAAGCCAAAAAAAAATACAATCTTATTGCTTTGATATGTAAAGTGTTTGTACCAAGTAGAAATCTGATTGGTCCTTCTTAGGAAGGCAAAAATCCAATCTTATTGCTTTTTGATATGTAAAGTGTTTGTACCAAGTAGAAATCTGATTGGTCCTTCTTAGGAAGGCAAAATACAATCTTATTGCTTTGATATGTAAAGTGTTTGTACCAAGTAGAAATCTGATTGGTCCTTCTTAGGAAGCAAAAAAATACAATCTTATTGCTTTGATATGTAAAGTGTTTGTACCAAGTAGAAATTGATTGGTCCTTCTTAGGAAGGCAAAATACAATCTTATTGCTTTGATATGTAAAGTGTTTGTACCAAGTAGAAATTGATTGGTCCTTCTTAGGAAGGCAAAAATACAATCTTATTGCTTTGATATGTAAAGTGTTTGTACCAAGTAGAAATCTGATTGGTCCTTCTTAGGAAGGCAAAAATACAATCTTATTGCTTTGATATGTAAAGTGTTTGTATCAAGTAGAAATCTGATTGGTCCTTCTTAGGAAGGCAAAAATACAATCTTATTGCTTTGATATGTAAAGTGTTTTTATCAAGTAGAAATCTGATTGGTCCTTCTTAGGAAGGCAAAAATACAATCTTATTGCTTTGATATGTAAAGTGTTTGTACCAAGTAGAAATCCCTACTCATTTGGAAGGTCATTTAACAAATATTCTTAGAAAAACTACTTTTATTTTTTTAGTTGCATGTTCTTAACTGAAGGCAGCTATTATAATAAGAAAGAACTGTGGTAACTATATGTTTTTCTCCTTTTATAAATTAAATTTTATATCAGAGTTTTTTTTTCCTCCTGTCAATTGTTTTCCAAGTTTTTCACACTTTGATTTGTCAATGCAAATTTTATTTAGCATTTTCTTTGTTATTAGAAGAAAGAAAATCTGAAAAAATCTCTGCAGTCTTTGTTCAATTTCTCTTTATAATTTCCATAAACATTTTTCTTAAAATTCTCTCTCTCTCTCACTCCTTTTAAATGGCCACTCCTGTATTCTGTCTATATTAGAATGAAAAATATATTTTTTAATATATTCCATTTGAATATATTCTGGGTTAAATTGTATCAGTGGTATTTGCAAGTTGCTGCATGCATTTACTGATATGACTTAAAATTTTCAGTGTTCATTTAATGTTCATTGGGATGGATCAATAAGTTTGTAGCCTGACACATAGTTATGAGCTGAATTTTGATCTGAAATTTCCATTGTTCATTTTATTGGGATGGATCAAGAGGTCAGTCTGACACACAGTTATGAGCTGAATTTTGATCTGAAATTTTCATTGTTCATTTTATTGGGATGGATCAAGAGGTCTGTAGTCTGACACACAGTTATGAGCTGAATTTTGATCTGAAATTTTTATTGTTTATTTTATTGGGATAGATCAAGAGGTCTGTAGCCTAACACATAGTTATGAGATGAATTTTAATCTGAAATTTTCATCAATCTCTCACATGTAAATATATAATAACATATTCTTTCTACCAAACTTTTACATTCATTTTAGTTTGAGCTTGGGACAGACCAAACCAAGTAATGTTTTTTATATAGTTTTTCTTTGATATGTTCATAAAGATATTATATTTGTAATTTTGTTGTATCTATTAAAACTCAAAGTCTTTTTATGTTATAAAAGACAGCTTTAAAAATCTCGAGGAAACAGTTTATGTTCATTTATTATTATAATTTGTTTGATAAATGTTCATATGATAAATATAGTAGTTGAAATATCAGTATCATACTTTTATGCATACCAAAATGATAATCCAATTCCATAGAATATCATCATAAGTAAAGCCGGTAGAAAAATTCACCAGTATATAATTTCAATCAACTATCACTCCAAAATACATCTTAATGCTAAAAATTAAACTATGCAAGTATAAAACAATATAAATAAAAACTAATTCTTTTTTTTTTTTTTTTTTTGCAAATGTCAAATACATTTTTTAGCAAGACAAATGCAATATTATTAAAGTCCTATTAAAAAATAAATTCAGTTACAAAATATTTTTTCTTAAAAACTTAAATTATAAATTTATATTAATTATGTTAAATATCCATGATGGAAAATATCAAATAAAATTATTGAAATATTAAAAAGTATTGGTTTAAATATTTATTTTCAAATGTACATAAAAAGATAACCAGAAATGTAGTAACAAGAAAAAAAAATAGTCTTGACAACTCATTTAAAAAATAATGTATGTATTCATACCAATTAACTGTTTGTAAGATTTGATCCACTGATTACAGTTTTATAGAAAATTATTTTACTTTCTTAGACTTGGTTAACTGAGTAATTCACTGATTCAAAATATTTTTTTAAGTAGAAAAAATAGTGGATCTGTAAAAATTCCATAGGTGATGTCAACTAAAATATTATAATTACTCTTATAGGTATATTATTGCAATTAAAGTAATTTATTAGTATTCTATAGTTAGAAAAATATTTAACTTGATTGTCCTAAAAATTAAAAAAAAAAAAATTCCTTCCTACTCACTTTTCCAAAAAGATGTTTTCTCTCTTATGTCTCCATGACAACAAAAACCTTTTGTTTTTGTTTCTCTCTTTCTAACTACTCTCTTATTAAAGTTCCTAACAATATATATATATATATATATATATAACATAAAAACAATAAAATAGAGAAAGTAGTGGTTACATGTAGGTGGATGTGTGGGGGAGTGATTGAGTTTTCAAAAGCCAAAATCTCTGGTTCTAAACAATGGAGACACATTTTTTTTGTTAATGTTGTAGTTATTGCCCTTGACTTTAGGTTGTTGTTTAGTGCCACCAGGTGGTAGCTTCTATAAAATACTGGCGGCCATATTGAAAATGTTTCTTCAGTTGT